GGTATATGACCAGATGGTGTCCGCATGAATACGCAAACACCAAGTTGCGGGTGCAGCAACATGCACTAAACTTCTGACAACGATTCGTGACTATATGTGTCCCAGTCCACCCAGCTGTGAATGGGTTTCTCGTGAAGGATGAGAAAGCCACATTAACTTTGTGCTACTTTAAAATGGTGGCTGGCAAGAGTTGCATGGTCCCTCAGGGAGTTGAGGTGTGAAAAATATGATGCGCCGCTTTCGATTTTGACATCCTATGATCGAGGGAAAACAACGCATTGCTGAGCTAAGCTGATACATTAGCTATACAAAATATCATATATCAATAATAATAATAATAAATCTAATAAAAATAAGTTTGTGTGAATTTCCTGTCTCATGGACATTAGTTGTGCTTTGCTCACTTGTATAGATTTTGTGATTGCTGCTTTGTTATTTCATCCCCTGTATATCTTCAATTGCTGGTATTTATGTTCTGATGACTTCTGTTGGGGTAATAATAATTGCGCCAACTCAGACCACAAGACAACTGGCAGTTACCAAGTACCGCTCTAATAAAGATTTTTCTGATCCATAATGTGCACCTGTGTTTGTTTTCTTTTTTATGTCATAACAATCACTGCTGGTATCAACAACTTACGACGGTAATTTTACTCAAAATGTTAAAAAAGAATGTTTCTATTAGCTGCAGTGAAATCGCAGGTGTCCCTCTGATATTTATAACTTCGGCCCGCATTATCTTCATTCACAGCAATCACTATCATATTCTGTCTACTCACTCAAATAAAGTGTAACTGACAGAAAATGGATAATGTATACATATTATGTCATAATTAATGGAGCTTGCATTGACGCATCACATGTGGAATGATACTGTCCAAAAAATATTCAGTGTATTATGAGATTGCCAACAGCATCAGTCAGGTACAACAATGTATTTGATAGACAGGATTAACCAGAAGGAAGCAAACTGATGTCAAGAAAGGCAAACAGTTTTTGCATCTCATTCCATTTCCTTCACACAGAGTTTTGATCCAAAACTCATTCAAACATTGCAAAAGATTGATGTCAGTGAATGTTTCTTATTGAAATGAGGTAATGTAAAGAGCAAGTTAATGAAATATAACAAAAATTATTGAAACCATAAACCTTGAGATTCACGACCTCATGACAGTAGAGTCAATGGAAGCTGACCTTCTTGATTGTGATATGGCGGCCATCTTGAATTAGTAAAAAAATGGCTGCCATTTTAAATTCAAGATGGCCGCATTACATGTAAATAATTAAAATATTGTACATTTTGTTGAAAGTAGGCTTGTTTATAAATGAAAATACTAACCAGTATGAAGATAAACCAAAAAAATATTTTATGAACTATGTAGCCGCGGACAAGCATTCTTTGCTGAAATGTGGGTGAAAGGACAATAGACCCCACCCCAAACACCATGCACAAAAAAATATATTTCCCCAACCTTGATTTTCTTTGGTTTTTATGGTGACCAATAACACCCTTCTGGTCAGGTTAAACACAAATTTGGCCTGTTATCAGAAATGTCTAGGTTCAGTGGTGCAGTTTCTACTGGCCTAATACATATCGCCCCATTCTATTAAGATCTATTTGCCACCATAACTTCATTTAAAATGATGCTAATCCATCCCTCCCACAAAATCCCAATCTCAAACATGCAAGACTCTTTATAACGGTTATAATTGAGCTCTTAGTTGAAAAGACTAAAGTGATTAGACTGTTATATGTAGAGGCATGTATGTTGAACTGACTCCAGCTATGGAGGTGAAAAGGTTCAAGGCATCTAATACAACAGAGAGGAGACATAATTCCCTGGATCGGGCTTAGGATGACACAAGCGATGGTTTTCAGATTAACAAGCTTTGAGTGCATGTTCATCAAGAGAGACTCTACAAGTAACAATTTCTTGTGTTATTATTATCACAGTATCATGACTAGTAACAGTTAAAACAGCGCTGGATCGGATTGGACAAGTAAGATAAATTATCATAAATAACCAAAAAACAAACATTATTAATTTAACATGCCACAACATAACTGTTGCTCTGATAAATATGTCAATAAATAATATTTACATAGATTAGGACTATAATTAGGTGTTCATCAATTATATCAATCATAATATCACATCTACTAATTACTCTGTAATTCGAATGGAACGATGAATACTAGTATTTACTCTGGTTTCTTTTCTAGTATAGTCACACTGATATGTTGGAACAGATGCTACAACTATGTTCCTGAGTAACTACTGAAAGCATATTTCACACATTCAACATCAGCTACTGGCATGTCTTGACATCTCACATCAGAGAAGTGTGTTACAAAACTGGGAACACAATGTACACTATTTGACTGAGCAATTTTCAACTTCCTGGACAAGTATACAACAAAATATATTCTTCTCAACAAACATCAAAATGTGTCTGCTTCACCTTTAAAGGAAGCATGTTGGCGATGTTCAACAAAAATTTAATGATGATGGGCCCTGTACCTGCCCGCTTAGATCAACAGGCCCTTGTGTCTTTGCGAGGATTAAGGATTAAAAAATTGTTTTGAGATGACCTCCCACTCAAAAATGCTTCACAGTACAATACATCACGACAAGGTCGGACACTTCGGTGTACCCCACCTGCCTAGATCATTTTATTTGAGGGTCAAAATCGTCTTTCCATCGACTTGCAGAAATAGCAATAAAGAATTGGTAGGTGTCATGAATGGTGATCAATAGGCCAATCATCCATGATTATGTTTACATAAAAGTTTTAATCGACTGCATGTGATGGTAGAGTAGTGATCGACAAATCAGACGGTTGGGATACACTGAAGTGTCCGGCCTTGTCATGATGTATTGTACTGTAAAGCATTTCGACTTAGCGGTCATCTAAAAAACCCTTTTAAATCTTTAATCCTCACCAAGACACAAGGGCCTGTGGATTGTGGTCTCGACCCAGATGATCAAACTTCGGTATCCAAGCCTCCTTCTGGAACCGCCTTCAGTCTGGGCAGGGGTCTGTCTGTTAAACCATATGTGTCTGTTGAACGGACAGTTCCACTATATGGCCTGAATGTCGCGGATGCTGTGCTTTCAGCTTATTGACCTCAGCATGGTCAAATCTAGTGGCGGCACATCCTGCTTCTTCCGCAACATCACGGGGTGAGGGGGGAGGGAGGCACCACCATTGGAATAATCTAAGCTACCATCCTTCCTAAACTTGGCATTTTCGCTGATAGAAAACATGTGAGTTGTATTGAGGTCATCACTGCCCTCTTCTGAGTTGACGCCGATGACTTTTTTGTCCTATGCGTTTCCTGGGTTCATGGCGCCGGTGTGAGCTCCCTGACAACAGACTCCCGCCTCGCGAGGAGTGCTGGTCATAGTTCATCAGCACGGCGCTGTCGTGGGGACTTCGGCATCTGGGTGCCTGTGGTGGACTTCTTTTAAGGACTCTCCAGAATCGGAGTGGTAATCTGAGTGTCTTGTCCGACTTGAGCTATATAAGTCAGGGTTGTCTGGAACACAAGATTTGTTTGCTAAGCATGAATATCATCATAATTTATTTCAACTTCAATATTTATTTCCATTTTATAAGAAACTGGCTGTAAGTATTGTGAACACACAAACCTAGTGAATGATATGAGAATGATCTTTGCTGTCAAAGATTCATTTCATCATCACATTTAACAAGCTTAGGGAACCAGCGAAATATTCTAATTGAATCCCTGGCAGAGTAGGGGCAGAGAAGTGAGTGTTGGTTTTACATCACTTTCATCTCAGCAGCATCATGGTATGAAGGAGTGAAAATGTATGGATGTCAAGTAACCATGGGAACATACCAACAGTGCTTATACCCGGTCAACAAGTAACCATGGGAACATACCAACAGTGCTTATACCCGTCAACAAGCAACAATGGGAAATCATAAGCTTACACCGGTCAACAAGTAACAATGGGGAACATACCAACAGTGCTTCTATACCCGGTCAACAAGTAAATAATGGGAACATTTCAACAGTGCTTATACCTGGTTAACAAGTAACAGTGGGAACATTTCCAACAGTGCTTATACCCGGTTCAACAAGTAACAATGGGAACATACCAACAGTGCTTATACCGGTCAACAAGTAACAGTGGGAACATACCAACAGTGCTTATACCCGGTCAACAAGTAACAGTGGGAACATACCAACAGTGCTTATACCCGGTCAACAAGTAACAATGGGAACATACCAACAGTGCTTATACCCGGTCAACAAGTAACAATGGGAACATACCAACAGTGCTTTATACCCGGGTCAACAAGTAACAGTGGGAACATACCAACAGTGCTTATACCCGGTCAACAAGTAACAATGGGAACATACCAACAGTGCTTATACCCGGTCAACAAGTAACAATGGGAACATACCAACAGTGCTTATACCGGTCAACAAGTAACAATGGGAACATACCAACAGTGCTTTATACCTGGTTAACAAGTAACAGTGGGAACCTACCAACAGTGCTTATACCTGGTTAACAAGTAACAATGGGAACATAACAACAGTGCTTATACCCGGTCAACAAGTAACAATGGGAACATACCAACAGTGCTTATACCGGTCAACAAGTAACAGTGGGAACATACCAACAGTGCTTATACCCGGTCAACAAGTAACAATGGGAACATACCAACAGTGCTTATACCCGGGTCAACAAGTAAATTAACAATGGGAACATACCAACAGTGCTTATACCCGGGTCAACAAGTAACAGTGGGGAACATACCAATAGGGTGCTTATACCGGTCAACAAGTAACAGTGGGAACATACCAACAGTGCTTATACCCGGTCAACAAGTAAATGTCAATGGGAACATACCAACAGTGCTTATACCCGGTCAACAAGTAACAATGGGAACATACCAACAGTGCTTATACCCGGCTTTAGAACTTTCTCTTCTTCTTTCATCTTTTAACGGGCGCCATACTGTCATCTGGTCGGACGCTTTTCCTGAAAGAAGAACCACAAAATTAGACATCATGCCACTGTAACACAAGTAAGGCATTGGTCACCATCAAAACAATGATGGACAAATAGTACAGTTCATTCTTAAATTTAAATTAATGAAATCTTGAGTGAACAAGCACTTTCCTCAAAGAAAGTTCTGCTCATATCCAGTAGCAAGATTTCCAAAGATGATTCCTGACACAATGTTTCAAAAGATATGATGTTCAACCATATTTATACATGAGTGAACAATATCACTTTGAAATTCAGAATTTGATATTCAGAAAGCTTAGTACTGCTACGACTGTTGTAAGTGTATGTTACAGTATAGGAAGAACAACAGTCGAGGGACTTCACGGTAGCTTTGCAAAACGGGTCCCAGGCCAATATTCTTCACTTCTGTTATCTCCCTTCCTCCCCTAAAACCACCGCGGAATAAATTAAGTCTTAAGCCCCTTTTAGCAATACTCAGCAACATGACGGGGGGACGGCAGAAATGAGCTTCAAACATTCTACCCATGTGGGGAATCGAAATAAAAAAATGTGGTTCTTGATTACACCTCTTTAAAATTTAGGGTAGGTAGGTAGGTATGATTTTTTTCTCAAACATTTTTTAGAAGTAAAGTACAAACTAACAACACATTTATCAATGGGTAATTATTTATTCAAACAAGCTTATGACTGGCATCATTATGTCGACTCTCTCTATCAGCGCCATGACCGATGTCCGGCCAAACCAATCAACCAACCAACCAACCAACCACAATCCTTGAGGTCTTAATAAAGCAAAGGGGAAGATAGGGAGACTTCAGGTGCTCCACACAGAGTACATACTTTACTGTAATGGTCGCCATGCTTGTGTATTGGACTGGCTGTAGGTGGAGTCTCCCCTTCCTCGCCATGGTGGTTCTTCAAAGCCCTTGTCATATGACAGTTTCCTGTAGGAAATACAAGCAGATGCTACACACATCGTGGTTCATGGATACATGAATCTGTAGTAAGAACCCAATGTATGCACGATTTAAGGAATGAGTGAGTGAGTGAGTGAGTTTATTTTACGCCGCGACTCAGCAATATCCATTCCATGACGCAGTCTGTAAATAATCGAGTCTGGACCAGACAATCCAGCGGATCAACAGCATGAGCATCGACATCAGCGCAACTGGGTTCCGGCGACATGTGTCAATCCAAGTCAGCCGAGCCTGACCACCGATCCCGGTTAGTCGCCTCTTTTACGACAAGCATGGGTTGCTGGAGACCAATCAGGGACTTAAGCATCTACCACTTCATAATGTTCCCACATGTAGTGCATGCTGATTAACAAAGAATGTTACTGATGTCATGTCAATGCACACACTCAGAGAGTGAGTGAGTGAGCTTGGTATCACGCCAAGACACACCAGAGACCCATGAACATCCGGTTAGAATTGGTCTTCAGCAACCCATGCTTGTCGTAAAGAGGCTTACTCTGGATCCTCCAGACTCGAATTTACAGACCGCCATATAGCTGGAATATTGCTGACGGAGTAACAATAAACCATCAAGTACACACTCAGATGCCTCAATCCACAGTATACCCACTGGATGCATCCACGGCTTGGGAGCGATGATTTTATCACCTTCCTTGGCTGGCTTTTATCCAGTCAGGTGCCTACGCTGGGAAGTTGAGCGTACCAATCACTACTCACTTTCGCGTCTTAAATTATCTAACCGTTTAAACTTGGCAACACAATTGATGCAGAGGTACTCTGAAAGAAGTAGAAGGAGTTCTTTCATATATTCTTTTTAAAGTTTCAGATCTGTGAATTTGTCTTTATTATTTCCCCAAAAATCTGAGTGGCCCTGCGAACAAACCTTTGCGACTGCGGCCGCTATCTGTGTTGACACTGGCAAGCTCGGTTGTAACGGCGGCTTAGCTGATTGGCTACTGTGAGAATGCGGAGCCAGCCAAGGGAGGTAATAAAATCATCGCCCCAAGCCGTGGATGCATCCAGGGTATAGTGGAGAGTGATCGTAACGTATACTGGGATTTACCTGGAGATTATCGAGGATGTACACAAGAAAACAATTTGGTGCCTGAGACAACTGGCCCTGAAGACATAATACCTGTGTTGTTTGTGAAGGCGGCCATCAACAGTGTCTATTGTTGTCACTGGCTCGGGCCTTTGTCGGAAGGCCACTCGACATCACTCTGCACACAAACAACAGTCAATGGCAATCTATCCAAGCACATGTACATACATCTTATTACCTCCCTTGGCCATGCACACAAAGGATGTCATTGCAATCCTCCTCTCTTGTATGCAACCATAATTTAGAATGTTGGAATAAATGCCTCCCTTTAAGTTACTAAGTTTTTCCCCTACTTCATGCTGTGTCTGGATAATTTCTGCAGTCAAGCTGCACACAAAGAACAATCAACATCTGAACTCAGGTGAAACTGATCTCTAGTTTGGGGTGGAAGCAACTTTCTGTGTAGACTGTACAACCATCACAGAACTATATCATATGAACTCCATGAGTCGGCCTATATCAACCCAGGAGTCCACTTCCACTCATAAGTTGGTCTATATCAACCCAATAGACGGTCTATATCAACCCATGAGTTGGTCTATATCAACCTGTCAGGCGAATTATATGAACCAAGGAGTCGGTCTATATCAAACCCAGGAGTCGGTCTATATCAACCTGTCAGACAGTCTATATGAACCCAGTCTGTCGGTCTATATCAACCCAGGAGTCAGGTCTATATCAAGGACCCAGGAGTCAACCTGTCAGACGGATTATATGAACCAAGGAGTCAGTCTATATCAACCCAGGAGTCGGTCTATATCAACCTGTCAGGAGTTAGGTCTATATCAACCAAGGAGTTAGGTCTATATCAACCCAGGAGTCGGTCTATATCAACCTGTCAGAGTTGAATTATATGAACCAAGGAGTCGGTCTATATGAACCCAGGAGTCGGTCTATATCAACCCAGGAGTTGGTGGCATATCAACCTGTCAGATCAGTCTATATGAACCCAGGAGTCGGTCTATATCAACCAAGGAGTTGGTCTATATCAACCTATCAGGAGTTATATGGTCTATATCATCTATATCAACCCAGGAGTTGGGTCTATATCAACCCATGTCAGACAGTTATATGAACCCAGGAGTCGGTCTATATCAACCCAAGGAGTCGGTCTATATCAACCCAGGAGTTAGGTCTATATCAACCTGTCAGACGTATATATCAACCTGTCAGACAGTCTATATCAACCAAGGGAGTAGGTCTATATCAACCCAAGGAGTAGGGTCTATATCAACCCAGGAGTCGGTCTATATCCCAACCCAGTCAGTAGTCTATATCAACCCAGGAGTTGGTCTATATCAACCTGTCAGTTGGTCTATATCAACCCAGGAGACGGTTATATCAACCCAAGGAGTCGGTCTATATCAACCCAGGAGTCGGTCTATATCAACCCAGGAGACGGTCTATATCAACCCAGGAGTCGGTCTATATCAACCAAGGAGTCGGTCTATATGAACCCAGGAGTTGGTCTATATCAACCCAGTCAGACAGTCTATATGAACCCAGGAGTCAGTCTATATGAACCAACCTATGTCAACCCAGGAGTCGGTCTATATCAACCCAGGAGTTCGTATATCAACCCATGAGTTGGTGTATATCAACCTGTCAGGCGGTCTATATGAACCCAGGAGTTGGTCTATATCAACCTGTCAGTCGGTCTATATGAACCCAGGAGTCGGTCTATATCAACCCAGGAGTCGGTCTATATCAACCCAGGAGTTGGTCTTATATCAACCTGTCAGACAGTCTATATCAACCCAGGAGTGGGTCTATATCAACCCAGGAGTCGGTCTATATCAACCCAGGAGTTGGTGTATATCAACCTGTCAGCACAGATTATATGAACCAAGTGTCTATATCAACCCTGGAGTCTGTCTATATCAACCCAGGAGTCAGTCTATATCAACCCAGGAGTTGGTCTATATCAACCCAGGAGTCGGTCTATATCAACCCAGGAGTTGGTCTATATCAACCCAGGAGTCGGTCTATATCAACCCAGGAGTTGGTGCATATCAACCTGTCAGACAGTCTATATCAACCCAGGAGTCGGTCTATATCAACCCAGGAGTCGGTCTATATCAACCCAGGAGTCAGTCTATATCAACCCAGGGAGTCGGTCCTATATATCAACCCAGGAGTCGGTCTATATCAACCCATGAGTTGGTGTATATCAACCTGTCAGACAGTCTATATGAACCCAGGAGTCGGTCTATATCAACCCAGGAGTCGGTCTATATCAACCCATCAGATGGTCCATATATGAACCCATCAGGCGGTCTATATCAACCCGTCTGACGGTCAGTATCAACCCATCAGATGGTCAGTATCAACCCATCAGGCCGGTCAGTATCAACCAGGAGTCAGTATCAGGGTCTATATCAACCCATCAGATGGTCGAGTATCAACCCATCAGGCGGTGTCTATATCAACCCGTCTGACGGTCTATATCAACCCATCAGATGGTCAGTATCAACCCATCAGGATGGTCGGTATCAACCCATCAGACGGTCTGATCAGTATCAAACCATCAACCATATCGTCCAGACCCATGGGTCTGGAACAATACGGTCAGTATCAACCCATCAGGCCTGGTCTATATCAACCCGTCAGACGGTCAGTATCAACCCGTCCAGATGGTCTATATCAACCCGCCTGAGGTCAGTATCAACCCCGGAGTCTATATGAACCCATCAGCAGGTGCTACCTTCTGGCTGTCTTGCCGGCCTGCTGCTGCTGCAGCAATTCCTGGTACCTCCACATCAGGTGTTGCTGGTGTACTCCTGGTACTCCTCCACATCCTTCAAGGTCCTCCCGCTGCATCACGCACACTGCATGTAGTCGCATCGTTACTCAGACCCTTGCACACTGCAACACACAGTGAAAACATGCATGTAGTCGTGACGCATCAGACCCCTGCACACCGCCACACACAGTGAAAACATGCATGTAGTCGCATGTACCAGACCCTTGCACACTGCCACACAGTGAAAACATGCATGTAGTCACACAGACGTGACTCAGACCCTTGCACACTGCCACACACAGTGAAAATACGCATGTAGTCCTTGTCAATACTTGAACATGTTACAACCCTGGTATAGTAACACTGTTACTATACCAGGCATGTAACAGTGTTAGTATACCAGCGGTGTAACAGTGTTAATATACCAGACGGTAACAGTGTTACTATACCAGGGCGTGTAACAGTGTTACTATACCAGGCATGTACAGTGTTAGTATAATTCAGGCATGTAACAGTGTTAGTTATACCAGGTAACAGTGTTACTTATACCAGGGTGTAACAGTGTTACTATACCAGGGGTGTAACAGTGTTACTATACCAGGTATAACAGTGTTACTATACCAGACGGTAACAGTGTTTCGCTTGTGTAATGTTTTATACCAGGGTAACTGCTGGTTTTAACCGCTGGTCAGACAACCTCCTAATTTACTGGTCCTGCACAAAATCTGCCGGTCACAAAATATATTTTGCCCTTTACCTCAAAACAAGTTGGAGAGTGTCGCCTGCTTTCCACTTGCCATTTCAACAAACACATGGTATTAAAACAATCGGCGAACAACATCAAGTATTTTCCTCGCGATTTCCGTGATAACAGCAATTATAGTAACATTTCAAGGTACAAAATTTTAAATACATCGATCATTTCCAAATGACTGTCAAACTGACCAATCACACTGCACGTAGCATGATGAATTTAGAAGGAAACCTTATCTCACACGAAAATCTTATGTGGCCAATGCTATTATTAGAGGATTATAATAGCGATTTTATTTTAATTTCGGTAACATTTTAAGTAGGACACAAAAATACTTTGGGTATTTTGGTCCTGGGCAAAATCTTGTAAATATCCCGGAAACAGAAACACTGAGTGTAACAGCCATTAAACCAGCAGATGTGGTCGGACAGTGAGACTGAAGCAGTAAATACAGACACCATGTTATAGTGACTGGCTGGTTGGTTTGTCGTTTAACACCGCACTCAGCAATATTCCAGCTATATGGCGGCCGTCTGTAAACAATCAAGTCTGGACCAGACAATCCAGTGTTCATCAGCATGAGCATCAATCTACGAAATTGGGATACGATGACATGTGTCAACAAAGTCAGCGAGTCTGACCACCTGATCCTGTTAGTCGCCTCTTACGACAAGCATGGGTTGCCGATGATCAATTCTAACCCGGATCTTCACGGGTCTGATGACATGGGTTGCTGGTACCTGCTGGATCAACATGATGAGCATCGATCTACACAAGTGGTGTAGTGACTGGACACTTACTGAGGTAGACATGGAAACTGAACAGATGAGCGAGCAGGGCAACAGCAATGAGAGCCAGGACGCGGTGATCCCCACAAGAGCAAGCCAACCTTCTTTGTCCACTGTCTGGTACAGAATCTGGAACTCTGTAGTGAAACATTCGTGATTAAAAATATAAAATCATGACATTACAAATAATAGAGCCATTATTTAGGTTTCTATTGTTTTGAAGATTTTATCAAACAGAACAGAAACAAGCCAAAAACTGTGAGCAAGACTCTAACCTTTCAAGCCATAGCTGGAAACAAAATTGTCTTCGGCTAGCCAGAATTCCTTGGTGTAACTATATAAGAGGTCAGGGGTATAAAAAATATTACCCTTTCTCAGTTACCATATGAGATGTATTAACATGTATCAGTAGAGGACGTAATGTATATGCGTGACAGTCCCCGCTACACGCATAAGTGACTACCTGAGGGGGGTCACTCATTTGTGTGACTGTCTGATCACAGACAGGAAATTATGCATGTCACACAAAAGGCGTCTAAAAGTGTTATTAATAAAACTAATTTAACAAAATTTGCTACAGTCATTGATAGTTGTTCAAGTTATTGAATGACAAAAATGTGCAAAATTTAAGCAAAATTTGATGATATTTAACAGCTTAATTTCACCTATGTGCATATTTTTCTGGTGAAACTTACATTTAGTATTTTCTAACAGGTCATTTGTCATAGATTCAAAATATATATGCAGTTTTCGAGGCACATGAAGGCACACCTGTTTGTTATTCTGTTGAAACTTGCTTACTTTGTTTCGAAACTGCTTGCTTGAACCGTCTCGCATAGAAGTGACTGGGGAAGCGAGTCATTAATGGGAGGTAACTGCTGCCTGACTAAATTGGGCAGTCAAACCATCCAGATCATGTGACTTGGACTGTCTTAAGCATCACGTGTAATATATATTAGGATAATTTTTCCTATGTTTCAAAGCATTTTTCTTTACAACAAAGAAGATATAATAGATTAATATTTTATAGGGACTATATTATTTGGTGGAAGTATAACAACAGGAAAACACGACTAAGAGAAGGGGTCACTTCTACCGATGTGTGTGTATATTGTCAGATAAGGACAAACTTTCACGGTTGAACAACTTCTTTAGTTGGGGTCATTCAAGCTTCACATCCTGGTTGACAGTGATACTAGGATCTGTATCGAAGCGTCGCATCACCCGAATAAAGAAGTTGCTCATCCCAGAAAGTCTGTCCTTATCTGACTCTCAACTTCTAGAAATGCCACTCAAAGAAGGAACATATAGTGTTTAAATCACAATATATCCATAAAATCCATTCATTCCTACACTATGGTACAACATTTCTTGCTTTGCTAAATGTCATTTAGGTATCATTGTTTCCAATAACATCACATTATTACTCTGATAATGTTTCAAACTTTTGTGGATGATGACATACCTGCTATAGAATGGTTGCCTGGAAATAAAATAAACAGAATCATTATTTGTTTTTTTTTTCAAAGCTTCACACGATGGATTCAACAATTGCATGTCAACAAACAAGTTTATATAACATCAGCACCTTGTTTAGTGTGAGTGTGTGTCAGTGAATTTATCTTTCACGCCAACACTCAACATATATGGCGGCGGTGTGTAAATATTCGAGTCTGGACCAGGCAATTGTTTAATAATAGCACTTTACTGTGTACCTCTATATGGCTGCAGGAGACGGCCATCTTTTTCGTCTGTGAAGAATCCGATGAACTGTACCAGACACACGCACAGAATTAGCAGACATCCCACTCCCCCACTCACCAGCGTCGCGAGGAACCATCTGTACATAATATAATACTTCTTGGTGACTACTTCATGACTTCACATACCACCTCTGCTTCATGACACCTACTTTACATACAGATACTACTTCATGACACTTCACAAACAGAAACTACTTCATGACACTTCACATACCAATTCTGCTTCATGACACCTACTTCATGACACCTACAGATACTACTTCATGACACTTCACATACAGAAACTACTTCATGACACTTCACATACCAATTCTGCTTCATGACACCTACTTTACATACAGATACTACTTCATGACACTTCACATACAGAAACTACTTCATGACACTTCACATACCAATTCTGCTTCATGACACCTACTTTACATACAGATACTACTTCATGACACTTCACATACAGAAACTACTTCATGACACTTCACATACCAATTCTACTTCATGACACTTCACATCACATACAGAAACTACTTCATGACACTTCACATACAGAAACTACTTCATGACACTTCACATACCAATTCGCTTCATGACACCTACTTTATGACACCTACCAATACTACTTCATGACACTTCACATACAGATACTACTTCATGACACCTACTTCACATACAGATACTACTTCATGACACCTACTTCACATAGATACTACTTCATTACACTTCATGACACCTACATTCATTCATAATGAGTCTACTTAATGACACCTACTTTCCATACAGATACTACTTTCTGACACCTACTTCACATGATGATGAAATTACAGCTACACTGACACACACCTCAGCTGAGCAACACCAATCCTACCAATGAGTCTGGTTTACAACTGTCTTGACCAGTACCCAGTCACATCATGCCATGTCAGCCTGATGTGGGAGGACAGGCTGACGTGGATGCAAGTCTTAGACATATAACACAGTGGTGAGACCTGTCACCATGGTTTCTGATGCCCAAGCAACACAGCTCTGCACTGCAAATTGCTGCACCATACAATAATACTACCATATCTTTTCAAAGGAATAATGCTTAAAGAAGATCAGGGGCCTGTTTTACAAAGCAGTGATACCTCAAGGACGGTCATAAATCTATGTTATCGGAAAAAGAGTAGCGATAGTCATAGCACAACAATCACTTTGTGACACAGGGCCCAGAGATGCAGTGGTTTGGTTGATGACATGGTTGATGACATGGTTGATGACAGCTCTGTATATAATCAAGTCTGGACCAGGCAATCCAGTGATCATTAGTATGACCATCGATCTATGCCATTGGGATATGATGACATGTGTCAACCAAGTCAGCGAGCCTGACCACCCGGTCCTATTAGTAAGCCTCTTACGACAATCATGGGTTGCCTAAGACCAATTCTAACCCGGATCTTCCGGGTCCAATGACCTGAAGTCTCTTCCGGGTCCCATGACATGGGTTGCTGAAGATCAATTCTAACCGGATCTTCATGGGTGTGATGACATGGGTTGCTGTGGTACCTGTGTGACATGGGTTGGTGGTACCTGTGTCGGGGAGCATGCTCTCAGCCACCAGTCACTTGGCTGGCTGATGTACAGCCGCCATGACATTGCAGGAATATTGCTGACCGTGGCAGAACACATTCTCTTATTCTCCATTGAACTGACCTGTAATTCCTGCCGCCGACACAGTTGTTGAGCCACTTACAGTGGTGGTCAAAGTCTGACACACACTTGTTGCAGGCACTGCAGTGTTTGGACTTGGACCCACTGAAACACAAACACATGGGGAACTTTCAACAGCATAGGCATGACAAAGCTGAAACAGATAGAGTGAGTGAGTGAGTTGGGTTTCTTGGACACCAGAAAAAGGCTTTACACCTTGTGTCCAATATGGGGAATGAAACCCCATGTCTTCAACGTGATGAGCGAATACTTTAACCACTAAGCTACTCCAAAGCCCCGAAACAGATAGACATCACTGAACTGTTCTTGCAGATATACCTCTACTGCCAGGAATGGTACAGTCTGTAAGAGTTGCTGGATGGAACCTGCATCAGAGCAGTGTCTTGAAATAGTTTCCAAATTTTGCCTGAAAGTAACTAGCCCACAAAATAATTCACTAGCCCAAAATTTGAATGTAGAAACTAAGCAAAAGATTACAAAAATAAGATGAGAATAAAATATTGTCGGCATGGCACAGGTTTCATCGTTAAGCTGCTAATATGATGAACATTTTTAATCTTGCATGATTCAAAAGTGTATTATAACTTAACAAGTCAGAGAGAGTGATATATTTACAAAATGACCCCATGAAAATTCACTAGCCATTTGGGCCAGTGACTGTGTAGATTTACTGACCCAGCTGGATATTTACTATGCACAGGCTAGTGGGCCAGTGGCTATTTCACACACTGCATCTGAGAAGTTTGGTTCGAATCCATCGGTCTTAATGTGGGGTTGTTACTGGTGGGTGGCCTTTGTGGGGAAAGACCATAACTTGACAATTTTGCTGAAAACATTCCCTTTAAGTGCCAGAAGGTGTTTCTATGGTTGTTGAATCGACGAGCAGTGCCATGCTGCCAGGTACCACACTGAATCACACCTATAGCTCTCGATCTATCATTTCCCCTGTGTTGTAGCATATTCCAGAACAATGAATAGAGGTGTTTTTCTGACTTCTGCATTCTTAAGAGTAGAAATGTTAAACATCTGATAAAATGGCCTTAAAATGAACATTGTTGGCCTTGATATTTGTCAAGGTTGTTGCAAATTTTCTGCAATTCAATAACATTTGCTTGGTTGCATTTCTTCAAATGTTTTGATATTCGTTCTCTGAAGTTCTCTATTCATCCCGAAATTCCTTCACTTCATTACCAATGAAAAAAAATTCCATGTCAGAGTAACATTTGTTTTTAAGAATGTATGCTTCTGGACCAGACAATCAAGTGATCTAGTGTTCAAGCTATGACCAATGCTTCCACTACATCACCAAACCTGACCATCCGATCCACATTGGGCTGTTAAGTTGTAAAGGATATTAAAGTATCAAGTTACTTAAAATAACTTAATCAAGCAGTTCACCAAACTGTTGTGAAACTTCTATCAAAACTATGAATGTAAAATAAAATATCCAATCAAACATTAATATCTCAGGGGTGGAAATAACCCATTGCCTGACACCCGAAGTCAAGTGTTTTTTTCTGTCGGGCAAGCAAATTTGTATATCACACTGTACCGGTGTCCAGTTGACTTTCCAATATTAATAATGTTGTTTATTTGAAAAATCAACAAGAAAACGGCCGGTATAGTGGAAAAATTATCAGGGCAAGTGATTTTACATGTGCCACTCTACCGGAGTACACTAGCAACTTTAAAGTTATTTCCACCCCTCTATCCACTTTTTCTTTCATGTACCAATATGTACCAATATGCAGTACCATATGATCTCCTTCAACAAGTGATACAGATACTTCCACATTCGCCATGACAACCACATGACTTACACATTCACACGGCACAAATAACAGTGCTGGTTCTCAATAACATGTCTCCGCTTCTTTCGGTCAAATGTTGGCATCTTGTCTTTAAAGTTTGCTCTGAGGACAGCTTCGTCTGCAGGGTTGATAAGGGTGGCGACAAAGTGTGTGAAGACATGCACCACACACGCCAGACCATTGATCTGAGGTCGTCAAGGAACTGGAGGAGAGGGTGATGAGCAAAACTTGATGAACTTCACATACATGTCAATACTAAAAAACTTACCAATGGGAGACACCGCCCAAATTTTCTCGCTAGGTGGTGCAGGTGTATTACAAGTTACAGCGTGAAACTGGAAGTCATCTATCAAGGTTAGTTCGACAGTGGTGTAAACATGCCGAGATACTACTCTGTTCCCGGTTTGCAAAAATAATATAGGGGACACAAATACCCCTGACCTGCGTTGCATTAAGAACATTGATGTGTCAATGGAAACTCTTTGGAACCCAGGGACAAGCGATGTCGTCTGTTGAGCCTACTTTACCAATGGTGAATTCGTGGATACACTATTAGGTTCGTCAATAACAATGTTTTTGTTTGTTAAGAATGATAAAATAATTAAGTATGAATGGTTTTCTAACTCTTACTTTGTATTTTTTTTTAAAAGTTGATAAATATGCTTTCGTCGAATATTTTTGTTCTGTAAACATGTTGTTTGTTGCCTGTCAAATACTACAGTCAACACTAGTCAGGCTATTACACCATGTTCATGCTGGCATGTTAACATTGAAACTACTGTCAGTGGTTGATCTTCCTCCCATGTTTAAAGGTCACATGCAACGTAAAACACAACTTTGCAGATTTTGATACCTTTCGGTATGGACTTACCGAAACAAATCATCAAAAATGCAAATTCAACTTATCAAGTTTAAAAAAAACGCGATGAAAAAAACCGTGCGAAATCGGAGTTCAAACGATTCACTAATTTCCCCCTGACTTTTCGGGGGAAAACTGGTTTCAACAGCTGGGCTGCGCTCATAGCATGTGCGCAGTGAAATAGGTTCGCACAACTTGGAAGCAGGCTGTCCGGTGAATACTCGGTGAAGGCTTTGGTGTGAGCTATTTTCCTAATGTTTTGTTTATATCTCACAGGTGCGAGCTTTTTATATGTTATGACAGTAAATAAACTGTTTATATAATTTCATTTGTCTATGTCACCACACGTTCTTCTTACCGAGTCACTTTCTCAGTTTGATACTTAAAAGCAATGTCATTATTTAGCGTTGACAGAATTTCTAACTGTGATGTAGATATGTCGCTGTCACAGACAAAAATCAATGTCTTGTTTTATTGACACCTGTGTGTCTGCCTGCCTGTCTGCTAATGACAATATTCAATACACAACTGCGATCACTGACCACATGCAATTTGAACTTAACACCAATCAGGCTATACACCATAAACAAAACACATTGATTTATGGCCCGAGTTTGGTCTCTGTCACATTATGTAATTACACAGACAGGCAGGTGTGATATTTGAACACATGACATGTTATGATGTCTGTTGATTGCAAAATGTTATACATAAAACATGAGCATGTATTTACAAAACCCAACATCTCTATATATATACACACAATGAGCCGTGAGGGCATCTGCAAATGAACCAGCCGTTACACTTGAGTGCACACCCACCCGCTCTGACTGGGTTCGGTATCCCGGCTGCTTCGTTTCTTGGGAAGTAAACCCAAGTACACAATATTGCACTTATAATTTTGTTTACTATATGTTTTTTCATAACCAGCAATGTATATTATATGTCATGAATAAGTGATAATTGTGTTTTAATTATGTTTGATTTTTTTGGTTGCATGTGACCTTTAACGGTTTGGTGGAATAGACCAAATATCTGGGTATGATTACTAAATCAAATTAAGTTTCTTCTTACACATAAAATCAAATCCTAGGGATCTGTATAAACTGAGACCGACTCATAAGAATACTTCTAGGACAAGTGTCTCCACCTAGTTGTCGATATCAAAAGTACATTTCCAGGGGACATAACTCCTCAGAAATTGAAGGTATTTATTGTTTCTGGGTCAGTGACAATGTAATTATAAGTGCACATGAAACCAAATATTTCCCTCTTGCCACTAATTCATGTAAATAATGTAAGTTATTTCATTTTTCTTCAACAATGTTCCCAAAATACTTCAATTCTTTCATCCTGCTTACCGCACCATTGCAAGTACACAAAATATTAAACTGGTATAGTCTGGTGTCATGTTTATAAAATCTGGAGTGTACACCACTCAATGAATACAATGAGCACATACTTGCTAATGCTATCATCATTCAAACTAGTTTGTGAGTTTAATTTTACGCCGCTTTGAGCAATATTCCAGCAATATCGCCAGGGACACCGGGAATGGGCTTCACACATTGTACTCATATGGGGAATCGAACCCGGGTCTTCGGCGTGACAAGCAAACGCTTTAACCACTAGGCTAGCCACTGCCCCTATCACCACTCAAAACAAACCCAGTACATCTAGATCTGCAGTGTCTAGTCATGTCTTAAAGATGTTAAAACATTTGGATCTCTTGCAGGACAAAGGATACGATATATCCAGCTGGCTGCCACTCCGTTGGGAGGACGGGGACGAGGGTGGTGAAGTAGATGATGAGGAAGTAGACAACCACCAGCCAGGCCACACCCTGCAGGGGGTGCGGCGGGAGGGACCAGCCATTCCGGCGGCTGCTCTCCTGGTAATAATCTGGCTCCATCGCTCCTCCTGAAATGTGAGATTAAGCAAAGAAAGGCATTACAGGGAATCAGGGAGTGAATGTTGAAATGGCGTACAGCTTCTATCAAGTGAGTGAGTGAGTATGGTTTTACGCCAATTTTAGCAATATTCCAGCAATATCACAGTGGGGGACACCAGAAACGGGCTTCACACATTGAACCCATGTGGGGAATTGAACCTGGGTCTTCAGCGTGGCGATGACGAGTGAACGCTTTAACCACTTGGCTACCTCACTGCCCTGCTTCTATCAAGTAAACAGTCAGGATTTTGTTGGCAAGTAAACTGTCTTACAGTCTAGTTAGATCAGCTTGTTCTAGTCCATACATTAAGTCTAATATCACCTGAAAATAATGCCAAGGTCAGAGCTCCAGATAGATTTAGCTCATGTGGGTACTGTACCCACTGTATTTTTTTGGAGTAGGTATTATGAATGTTGAACAGGTATTTCATTTTCCGTTACCCACTTCTTTCAAATATGTGCATATTTCAGTCATTTTACTCGCCTGAGTATTAGGTCATTGAGTAAGTTTACTAAGCAGGTATGTTCTGTCTTATGTCATACCTAATCAAAATCAACTTAAATATAATGGAAATGATTCAGGGAGTCTGCAAATAGCTGTCCAGGTACACCAAGAGACAATGTGCAATGATCAATGTAAATGATATGACTAAAAATCAGGTCACGTATTGCAACCTGCTGATCCTAACTGGAATCACATGGCTAGGTAGAGAGTTTCTAATGACGATGATTGGGAAGATGCTATCAATATCCATATGTACACCTTATTATAAACAGTCAAATGGTATCAAATAAATGGCCAAAGAAATGACATTATTTTGAAAAACATGATAGCAGTCTTGGACTTGAGCCACTGGACCAAAGTCTGAGTTGAGTGAGTTTGTCTGGTAACACCAGAAGATTCTACTCCATGAACTAGTCATGATTAAAATCTGCAGAAATTTATAAATACATGTTACTAGGAACCACAAAACACTTTGGCACATAACGCGTGGCTATTCAATATAACCGACAGTTAATATGAAACACTCTTCCTTACATCGATGAAGTGATATTTGAAAATAATCTGGCCCTAATATGCTTCCATACTTCGGATCTCCAGCTGGATGTTATGCGCATCAGTTGCTGCGCAGAATTACCGGACAGCAAGCAATGTCGTCAGAACGCCGGTGAGGTCAATCGTATGGCATAATGCAATGTTAGAATCTTAAAGTCGTCAATAAAACTTATATTTCTAGGTAAATATGATGCATACCAGCATGTTTAGTCACGTAAACCACAAAAAATAAGAGACGTTTGTTGCCTTGTTGCGATCGACGTGCTTAGGTGCGCGGAATTACCAGACGGCATTGTATACTAAATAATACTGGAATAAGACCAATCCATCCATGGGGTGCCAGTCAAATCGCCCCAGCTACAAACGCCCCAGCCAATTGTGGGAAGTTGACATGAACTGCCTCAGCAAATATGTTATATGTTTTATTTGTTTTCTGTTGGGCAAATCCATTAAGCAGACACAGGTAACAGCACATAGTTAGTCTATGCACCGGACCATTAACATGTGTTGTTTTAAGCTGTAGTTCTTGTGGGATGTAGTTCTTATGGGAGGACACCGGTCAAAAGGTACACTTACAGAATACCGGATACATACCAACCATATTGTTAATGTCACGTCTATCTAACTCTAACGCTATCCCTAACCCTAAACCTTACCCTACCCTAACCTGACCCTAAACCTTACCTTACCCCTAAACCTTGCCCTAACCCTAACCCTAAACCTTACCCTAACCCTAGGAGTTAGGAAGGTATCCGGTATTCTGTAATCTTACCATAATTATAGTAATATTTCTGATGTAATTTTAGTAAAACTACATGGCTTGAAAATAATCAAAATGAAAATGACAATGTAGATATAAAATAAGACGGAGCCATTGACAGTAGAAAACACATAGTGACAGCGACTCTGCCTATTTTCGGAACACACATGAAGATTCAAATACATGTCCATTGTCTACTGATAAACAATCCTGCGTTTAACAGAAAATGAACAGACTTACCTAAATGCCGATGTCAGATATCGAACATGTCACCGGTAAGATAGCGTAATATTTTGTCCACGACAGATAAACAACATTATTCCGCCATCTTGAATCCAAGGTAATTTCTCATTCGGGAAACTTCGGTAATCTCCGACATGTGCTTTTACAGACGCTTCGTACGACCTGCGCACGCAGGAAAAGCAGCAACGTATCTCGTGTTTGTGTTCTGTTGGAAAACACAATAAATAGTGTCACACTTTCAAAAAAGCGTTAAGTCCATTTGATGACCTTTTGTCGATGAAACAAATTCAACATGACCTGTTGCCGTTGCTTCCAAGAATGACGAGAGTGAAGTATTACGATGGCGAGGAAGGGCGACATGACCAACCATAGACAAAGATTTAATTACTCATTATGACTCGTTAGTATTGATTGTAGTTCATTTTGTTATCCGACACAGTCATCTGTTCCCTCACCTAAGTTTGACACCCGATTGTCTGATACATCCAATTAGCAGATATGTTACAACTAATTAGGCGTATTATATAGAACCGCGATGAGCTTAATTATCCCCCATTGTGTTGCCTAGCAACATCAGTTAATCTACAATACCTCAATGAAAGGATAATAATTTACCCTTTACAAAGTCGAAATAGACCCACTTAGAAGTGGGAAGGGGCAGTTATCTTCATCATCACCATCATCATCATCATCATCATCATCATCATGTACCCAGATAACGTATCTCGTTTCGGGACACATGTGGCAGATAAGCTAGTGGTGAGCATGTAATTTGCAAGGGTGGATACAGCTTTTTTAGAAAGGGAGTGGTGGGAGTGCACAGTTCATTTTCATCCGTTTTAGAGTTCTGAATGCTCATTTAATTCATTTAATAAACGTTCAGCACAAAAGGAGGGAGGGGGTGGGGTGCGCACTCCTGCACATGGTCGGATCGACCAGCTGCAAAGGGCTCACAACGAGGGGTTCCCGTTTTGCCGGACGCTTTTGTTATAGATAAAAATTCACTGATGCGCGATAATCCTTTAAACAATAGGGTATTAACTTATAGTCTGTTTCGGCCTGAGAAAGTACACACTGGAGCTTCATCTCAATATTTCATATATCACCAATTCAACATTTTTGGTACATTTTATCTTCATGATAAAATTCATAAATACCTATTTCGTACATTTTCAGAAAACGAGAAACTGGTAACTGAAGACATAAATAAATATGCATAAATATTTTCTGAACTGAACTTGATCTTGATGGTGGTTGTGTGTGTTCCTGGAACTGCTGAGAACATCACTGACGGTGTTGGCCGTTACAGGACAACCTGTCTGACAACATTTCAGATGAACTCGGTCCCTTTTTGTGCTCTACCCCTAAACTTGTGACCTAGATAGATACAGTGTCTACCTACCTCCCCTCGAATTTGGAATGTTAACTTGAGCGTTTGCCATTTTGCATGTCGAACCATGTCTACATTCTTTATATACAGGCACAACTTCAGAAATAATCATTGGAATAAGCTTCACTCAATTCAGCTAATATAATTCGATTTAACTAAAATCAGTTTCTAGAAATCGAGTTCACTCAAAACAAATTCGTGCCTTGTAATTAATGATTTCGAACTCAGTGACAAGTAATCACTGAACAGAGGCCCAGATAAGCTGCGTATCCGAGTAAAATACGCATATGAAAAATTTCAATTACGCGTTGAAAATAATGTTGCGTGCGGCTGCTTACGCATTTAAAAGACGTTAGATACGCAAAAGTTTAAAACAAATGCGTATACGGAATATATTTATAAAATCGCTTGCGTAATGAAAAAGACATCGATTGCTATCAAGTTGTACTGTAAGTATACAAGTGTTGTACTGTCAGTATAGGATGAGTGATTTTTTTATGAAATCATTTCCATTATATTTAAGTTAGTTTTGATTAGGTATGACATAAGGTAAAACATACCTGTTTAGTAAACTTACTCAATGACATAATACTTAGGTGAGTAAAATGACTGAAATACGCACATATTTGAAAGCAGTGGGTAACGGAAAATGAAATACCCACTCAACATTCATAATACCCACTCCCAAAAATACAGTGGGTACTATACCCACATGGAGCTAAAGTCTTATCTGGAGCTCTGACTGAAAACAGACTATAGCCGGCAAACTAGCGCACCGTTACTCTTAATACGTTATCATCATATCAGCTGTCCGGCAAAGTGGGGTATGACCCTCACAACACCGATTCATGTGTCAATTGCAATATGGAAGACGTGGCGCTTTAATGTTTTTCACTACAGGAGAGTTTATGCACAGCCGACGCGTGCCGTCGATCAGGCGTGTAACGAAATTAGGTTACGCAGGCTAAATCGTGCTTAATGCAGATCGCAGTCGTCCATCTCAACGGAACCTGGCTGTCTGATTGATTACCTGGGATTTCCGAAAAACCGAACCGACGCAGCGTTACATGCAAGTAATACCAGTCATCCCTTATTTAGGATTGTATCGCTGACTGGACTTCCCAAGGTTTCACATCTAACCGAATAAATAAGCTATTTTGTATACTAATGTTTGCAACAAATACATGTTGTTTATGCACATAAAGAAAGTGCACCCGAGACTTTTAGTTGTATTTTCCATGTGGGGGGTGTACTCGTCACTATATGGCTGAAATAATGCCGATCAACCCAATGGATGTGAGTGTGAGAGAGAGAGATCGAGGAGAGAGAGAGAGAGAGAGAGAGAGAGAGAGAGAGAGAGAGAGAGAGAGAGAGAGAGACCCTGTTCTTATCATTTCCATCTAATATTGGGTTTTAATCTAATCATTATTGCCTTAGAGACTTGTGCAAGTGTAAGTTCACATTAACACACTGTCATAAGTAACCATCACTATATAAGGTGCACGCTGCACTTTCTCTTTCGCTTTCCACGTAAACGGCAAACTCCTAACGTTTTCATGGAAGGACACCGTTTCATAGGTAAACAGTCCGTTCAGATAATGAAACTGAGTACCTATTGTTAGTGTTATCGCGGCTGCATGTAAACAGTGGCTTTGTGTCATTGTCAGCTGTTCGTTGATGACATGTACGGTCTTGTAAAAGGTTACATTTAGCCATTGTAACTTAACACTTTGTCACGCAACCACAGCATGTTTCGCCGTATCTAGATAATGAAGTCGGAAATCAATACATGGTAAACGTAAACTTGACACACTTCGTGAAGGACCCTTGCGTAATAGTGAGATGCAACCCATACTTGCCGAACCGATAAATATACAGTTGAATGAAACGGCTTTGTCCGTATTATATAAATTTTTAATGGCTTCGTAAGTATTGAATCCGTCAAAACACACAGGCAACTTTTTCCGTTTTATTTACAGTTACAAGTTTTGAAAATAGCTGTCATGGCCATTATAAGTTATCGCAAGTATTTCCTACTATATAGTTCAGAAACCTTCGGTGTGGTGGAGCAGCTCCATGACGCCTGTTTGATGACAGGTTATGCCATCCTTTTATGATTTTTGTGTTTTCTGATAATTTCATCAGGGATGTCCGCCGTGATATCGCTGGAATATTGCTAAAAGCGTAAAACCCAGCGCACTCTCACACTCATCGGGGGATGGTAACACGGTGACATTTGGGTGTGGCTCAATGGTGTAGTTTAAATATACCACCGACTGTACGTCATCAAAACACGAAATATGTTCTGACAAACCAAGGGAGTTGATCATGGATTCGAACCCGCTACGGATCCCGACAGGTCAATAGTGTCTGAGATGTTGTGAACATATATGTCAGCTGACATGCATTAGCTGCATGATGACCCTGATTTGTTAATTTGTTGTTTTTAACGCCGCACTCAGCAATATTCCAGCTATATGGCGGCGGTCTGTAAATATAACAGCGTCTGGACAGAGACAGTCTAGTGATCAACAGCAGGAGCATCTGGCTACGGAATTGGGATACGGTGATATGTGTCAACCAGGTCAGTGAGCCTGACCACCAAATTGTCAATGTCAGGTACATAGGCAGATCCTGGGGTAGGGTGTGTCACTGTGTGTGTGTGTGTGTGTGTGGAGGGTGGGGGCGCAGAGGTGAGGCACCCCGTTTTGTCCTAAAGTTTAATAATTGACCATTGAAACTCTCGTTAAAATGAAGTGTGCACCCCCTCTTTCTCAACGGTGTGCATTCCCCACCCACCCCACCCCCTCTAAAGTAGAGGAGGGGAATCGACATGCACTTCCTCTTGATCATTCTGGATGTGCGAGATGCCTGACTCTGACTCGAACACATGTCCCGATGTTCCTTCTGCAGTTTAATGACAACGTTGTGTCGACTTGGCTGGTTGACGAGACCAGCAACAGTCTCGAAGGTTTCAACCACCATTTAAACTCTAGCCACTCCTCTCGCCAATGTCTACAGACTCATCGAAGTCACAAAAAGGCTCGAGAGAGTTGCCTGATGCGCACCCAGGAGGACACAGCTAACCCAGGAGGACACAGTTAACCCACGACACAGTTAACCCAGGAGGACACAACTAACCCAGAAGGACACAGTTAACCCAGGACACAGCTAACCAAGGAGGACACAGTTAACCCAGGAGGACACCGTTAGAACCAGGACACAGCTAATCCAGGAGGACACAGCTAACTAAGGAGGACACAGCTCACCCAGCTTGACACAGCTAACCCAGGAGGACACAGTTAACCCAGGACACAGTTAACCCAGGAGGACACAGTTAACCCAGGAACAGCTAACCCAGGAGGACACAGCTAACCCATGACACAGCTAACCAGGGAGGACACGAGTTAGCAGGAGGACACAGTTAACTCAGGAAGACACTGTTAATCCAGGAGGACACAGCTAACCCAGGAGGACACAGCTAACCTAGGAGGACACAGTTAATCCAGGAGGACACTGCTAGCCCAGGAGAAACAGTTAACCAGGGAGGACACAGGTTAACCCAGAGAGAGGACACAGTTAACCCAGGACACAGTTAGCCCAGGAGGACGCAGTTAACCCAGGACACAGTTAACTTAGGAGGGACACGGTTAGCAAGGAGGACACAGCTAACCCATGACACAGCTAGCCGA